TGGGAGAAACTGGCATACAGCTGGCTGTATGTGCTCTGAAGTGAACCAGTAACAACACATGGTGCTTTTCTTTGGTAGTATGAACTCCCAGGATCTATGAGACAGAGGCGGGGGACAGGTAGGCTTAGATCACACCCTCGACCAACCCTCAGGATTATCATGCTCATCCCCTCAATTTGCTAATGTGAAGGTCTGGGCGTGCAGGGAAGGAATGCAGCCACCGGGGCACAAAATAATTCCTTTGAGGTGGAAGCTGAGATTGCCCTGGGCCATTTGAGGCTCCTTTGGGTACTAGGTAAACAGATGAGGGGTTCAGAGCATTGGGCCGATGACTGACTTGAGGCTTAGGGGTCCTGTGATTGTTATCACACCTTGGGGTGGACAGAAAGGCTATGGGAAGGATATAGTTTTGGAATGTAGATGAGGTTTGGTGGGGTGAAGTTCGGAGCCAATGCCAAGAAAGAATTCTGGAGACATCCTTGGTGCAAAATGGTGGTTTTATGAAAGCATGGGGACAGGACCCATGGGCAAAACGAGCTGCTGCCCCAGGAGTTGTGAGGGGTGGCAGATTTTATACTTAGGAGTTGGGGGTGGTAAGGAAAAGGGAAATTTTCAAAAGAACTTTCATATGCTAAAGAGAGCCTGCAAGATACTGGAGGCCTTGCCATTGTCAGGTTCGGATCGTTTTTTTCCCTCTTGTAAAGCATTAACATTAAGATAGTTGGGAGTTTCCTGGAGGAACATTATACTCTGCCTGCCTCAAGTATTTGTCAATGGGCTGCAAGTTATAAGGACATTTAATTTTACCTACATTTCCTTCAGGAAGTTACGTTATTGATAAGAACACTTTTTTTCTTGTAAATCGCTAAAACGTTTGTAAACTGAGGGAGTTACAGGACTGTAATCTCTAGAAGTTAAGCATTTGTTTTTCCTTCGCTTGGCTTTAGGGCAGCCAGGAGTGGCTGAGGAAGTCCTATAGGTTCCACCTGGGAGTTGAGGGGTGGGGCGGGTCGTGCAGAGTCAGCTGGTGCTTTGTCCTCAACTTGCCTTCTGCTCCTTCATCAGAACACCCGGAGCATCTGCACTGTGCCCTGAGAAAAGGTGAGCAGAAGAAGCTGCTACTGTAGGCAGAGCCCTGGCCAGGATTCAAACACCTCAGGAATAATGGTCAGGTCAGGGTCTCCGCTGGGCCAAACAACCCAATCACTGAGATTCCACCTGAAGGTCACAGAACAAGAACCTGGATGGGTGGAAGGAAGCCATAGCCACGTGGCCAGGCACTGAGGGCTGTGGCCCACACCTGCTTTTCCTTTCTTATTGCTAGAGCCAGAGGGAATGTTTACCCTTCCCTATTTAAAAAAAAAAAAGATTTATTGTATTTAATAATGTTAATAATGTAGGAAAGACGTTAGGGTTCGAAACTGACAGCCAAGAATTTTTGAGACATCTTTGGCGCAAAAAGTGGTTTTACGAAAGCACAGGACAGGACCTGTAGGCAGAAAGAGTTGCCTCGGGGTCATGAGGAGTGGCCCATTATATACTTTCAAGTTGGGAGGAGTTTAGAGATAGCTTGAGTCTCTAAGGAATTTTGGAAGCAGGGTTTCCAGGACCTTGAGGGGGCAGGCTATTGTCAGGAAAGGGTCATTTATTACCATCTAATAAAGTCCTAATCACGAGGCCCTTCTGATTATATATAATCAGTGGGCCATATGCTTGGGAGATGACTGCCAACGTATATCCTGGGGGGTGAGTAGAAAAAAGGAAATTTCTAAAAAAATTTGTAGTCTTACAGGATCCTGGGGGTGGGGGGATTAGGGGGCGAGGGGATGGGTCAGGCTAGGTTTGACTATTGCCTGTTAGCAAAGTGTCAACATCCAGGCAGTTGAGTCCCTAGAGGAATGTCACTCGGCCTGTTTCAAGGACTTGTCAATGGGCTGTAGGTAGTAAGGAAATTTAATAATTTCTCTTCTGCCTTTATTTCCAACATTGTTTATTTTTTTTTTAATTTTTATTTATTTATGATAGTCACACACACACACACACACAGAGAGAGAGAGAGAGGCAGAGACACAGGCAGAGGGAGAAGCAGGCTCCATGCACCGGGAGCCCGACGTGGGATTTGATCCCGGGTCTCCAGGATCGTGCCCTGGGCCAAAGGCAGGCGCCAAACCGCTGCGCCACCCAGGGATCCCCCCAACATTGTTTAAATCTTTTCTTCCGGGGGTGGCTCAGCGGTTGAGCGGCTGCCTTTGGCCCAGGGCGTGATCCTGGAGACCCGGAATCAAGTCCCATGTTGGGTGGCTCCCTGCATGGAGCCTGCTTCTCCCTCTGCCTATGTCTCTGCCTCTCTCTCTGTGTCTCTCATGAATAAATAAAATCTTAATTTAAAAATAAATAAATCTCTTCTTCCTCATTCCTCTTCTTTTCCTTCCCAAGGATAATGAGATTGGCTGAATTTATTCGAGATTGCAGAATGAGTTGGGGTCAGGACGGCATTTTCAGGAGGGAATTGGGAAAGCATTGGACACTCCCCAGAAGAGCCTGGATTCTCACCAGGGGCCCATGACCTCTCCAGTAGGCCTGGGCATGACCTTGGACTGGGACCTGCGGCAAGTTGGCAGCTCTAGTGGATCACTGCATTGTGTTAGGCTTATTTTCACATGCTTGGGTTCAGTCTATCTAGTCATCTCCCAAACCAGAAACTCTTCATCCCAGACAACTCCCTCTCCCTCACCCATCATTCAGCGAGATGTCAAGATCTGAAAACTTTATTTCCCAAAGAACTTCTCACCCCACCTCCCACTCTACATTTAAGACGGCCATTCCCTCAATCTAATGATCATCTCCTAGTCTGCCTTCGTTCTTTCTCCTTTTAATCTTGTCAGAATTCAGTTTCCTTCTTTTTTTTTTTTTTTTGTAGTTTATTTATTTATTTATTCATGAGAAACACAGGGAAAGAGGCAGAGACAGGCAGAGGGAGAAGCAGGCTCCTCGCAGGGAGCCCGTTGTGGGACTGGATCCCAGGACCCCGGGATCACGACCTGAGCCAAAGGCAGACACAACCATGGAGCCATCCAGGTGCACCAATGCAAACATTGCCAGGTCACTCCCAGCAGGTGAAGGTGGATTACACGAAGACCCCTCTGTTCCCCTCCAACCCCACCTCTAGAAGTGAATTCCAAAGATCTAGGCCCCTCCTAGGACATTTCCACTCCAACCTGGTAGGTGTGTGTACTCAAACCCTGGTTCCTACTCTTTCCTCTTCTCATGTCTAAGCCACTTCAACCAGATTTGCCATGTATCGACCCATTTACAACTGAAATGTTTACGATTCAGCTCTGGATATCACCTTCTTCTAGAGGTTTTTATCGGTTTTTCCCTCTAGGATGCAACTCATCCATTCAGCTGGATTAGGCTGCCCTCCTTTGGGTCCTCCTCATCCTCCCCACAGACTTTGCACTGAACACATTGTATCAAGTGAGTCCTTGTGATGTAGTTTTGGGATGTAGGTGAGGTTTGGTGGGGTGAGGTCCGGAGCCAATGGCCAAGAAAAAATCCTGGAGACGTCCTTGGTGCAAAATGGTTTTATTCAAACACGGGGACAGGACCCGTAGGCAGAAAGAGCTGCCAGGTGCCCAACTTCAGGGGGTCGTGAAAGGTGACTGATTATATACTTGGGAGCTGGGAGTAAGGAAAAGGAAGGTTTTCAAAAGAATTTTTGTATGCTAAAGAGGGCCTACAAGATACTAGACGCCTTGCCATCATCAAGTTCAGATGGTTTTTCCCTCTAGTAAAGCATTAACAGTAAGATAGTTGGGAGTTTCCTTCTGGAAGTTAGGTTATCAATAACCTAACTTCCAGAAGGGTTATTTTTCCCCTGGTAAATCACTAAGACATTTTGTCTTGCAGGACTGTAATCTCTATGAATTAACAATTGGTTTTTCATTCCCTTAGCCTTAGGGCAGCCAGGAGTGCCTGAGGAATGTCACACACATCCCACCTGAGAGTGGCGGGGTGTCAGCTAGTGCTTTGTGCTTAGCTTGCCTTCTGCTCCCTCAACACTTCTGAGGTTCTGTAAGACTATAATCTGCTTGCTAACAAGGCCCAGGAATCAGCGCCCTCCTTAGCAGGATCTGGCCTCCCTCCCTCTGGTCAAATCCCGTCTGTCCCTTGGCTGCTTTACCCCCTCCTAGGCTTCCCCTTGCAATCAGTGCAGAACAGAGTCCTTAGCTGAGCTCATTGGGTGCTTTAAGTCTTCCCTCCATCTTCCTCTTGGGTCTGCCTGGTTCCACCCCATGGCTCACTGGCCTGCAGCAATTCACAGGGACCTCGCCCCAGGGCTCCACACCACCCTGGATGGTCCTCTCCGCAGAGTGGCACTTATTTTGCTCCATATTTTTCTCTGCTAAACAATATGACATGAGCCATGTTTGTGTTGCCACTCTTCTCGTCCTAGTACCCAGCAAGGAACAGACACTCCATAATATTAAATCAATCATGACATTGTGACTTTATAGACTCTTTTGGCCTCAGGCCCTCTGGGGTGATCTAAGTGATTTTAGAGGATGACCACAGGATTGGACCTGCAGATGAGGGACAAAAGGACCCCCCAAGTCTGGGCCTCAGCCCAAACTATTCTGAATAAGAGACTGGGTCCTAGGAAGAGTGCAGAGGGAAAGATGGCCCGGCTTCGGGGAGGAGTAAATGTCTCTAAGGATTGCCATCTGGGGTCTCAGGGCTCTTCGAATCCCACCACACAAGGTGCCAGCTGCTGAGGCAGGGAAGCTGTCCTCCGAGTGGGGCCAGTGGTGACCCAGCAGGTGGAGTAGAGGAGAGCCGAAGGTAGGAGTGGGGAGTGGATCCCAGGGCATGGGCCAGGGGTCTACTCATGCCATGGCTGTGGCTGAGAGAAGGGGATGATTCCCGGGGTCCCTGGGTGTCCCTGGGAAGCTCGGTTCCTGGTGCAGAGCGGGGGGGGGGGGGGGGGGGGGGGGGGCTGAGCAGGGACAGATTTCCAGGGGGAGGGGCTCCAGGGCCATCAGCTTATCAAACAACCACCTTTTTCTTTGAAGGGATTCTTGTCTTCAGGGATGCCTTTGAGGAGAGGGTCGTTTCCTGCTTCAGCCTCCACATACTCCTTGATTTCCTTTCCTGTCTTGGAAATCTATGAGAAAACAAAGGGTGGTTCCAGCCCTTGATTGTCTGTCGGGATAAAAACAAACAAACAAACAAACAAACAAAAAACAGGTCCTAGACAGGATGGAACCGAAGTTGGAGAGGAGAGAGAGAAAGGGACAGGCAGGAGTGGGGGGTGAGTTCTTACGTCTGAGGGGCTGAGGGGCGCTGGGCCAGGGACCTGCTGGGCCAGGCACCTGCTGCGCCTCCAGGCTGCACGGTGGGTCGTGCTCTCCGTGCTCTCCGTGGGGGTAAGTCCTGGCCTCCCTCTGTCTCCTCCCTTGTCCCAGAGGCACCTCCTGCTCCTGCTCCTTCTGCCTGTCTGGAGAGGCCCACCACCCTGCGGGCCTGTCCCTTCCCCTTGGGTCTCGGCTCGGTGAGGACCAGGATGAGATGGAGAAGAGGGGCAGGGAAGGGAGGAGGAGGCTTACCAGAGCTCTTGGGTTCTTCACTTCCTTCTTCAGCTGTTCCACCTCCATCTTCAGTAGCTCCTTCTCGCTTAGCTCCTGGGCCATCCTGCCCCAGAGACCTGCTCCCAGACAGGATTCCGCAGCTGGGATGACAAATGCCCTGGGCAGCTCCCTCCTGCACCCTTCACACCTCAACTTCCACCCCCTTCCCTGTGCAGCCCCTCTTTCAGGCTCTGCATATTCACACCATAGATTCACTCCCACCCCGACCCCATCAGGAGTCCAGGCTCTGGAGGAGAGGATGCCCCCAGTCTGGTGGGGAAGGCACAGGCTGTGCCCTTGGAGAAGGAGCTGCCTAGGGACGAAGCAGGAATCAGAGCATGGAGAAGGTAGAGAAAAGGAGTTTTTTTCAGTGAATCAGATTTGGGAAGCCAAGTTATTGTTCCACATAGTGGCACAGGTAGACATTTTTTAGGAAACAGCAGGTCCTGCCAGGGGAGAGTGTACCCTAGTGGTTAAGAGAAAGGCTCTGGAGCCTGCCAGCCTCCAGTTCTGATCCGGGTTCTTCCCAGCTACTTCCAAGCTGTGAGGCTTAGGCAAGTCACTCAACCTCCTTGAGGCTTAGTGTCCCCATTTGCAAAATTAGTATAAGAACAGTACCTGGGCCCTGGGCCCGCCCCCAGTGCCCCCCAATAAAAGAGATTTGGGTGTCAAAAAAAAAAAAAAAGAACAGTACTTACTTTGTGTGAGTTTTTTGTAAGTCCTCAGAAAATAATGCATGTAAAATATTTTAACCCTCTGTCTGGCACATAATGAATAATATATTTACTATTAATATTATAGTTACTGATATCATCATCATCAGAACAGGATTATCAGGAAGGCCTGACGAGTGCCCAACTTCAGTAATTCTAAGACTAAATCCCAGCCCAGTGCAACCTCAGCCCCTCTTACCTGCCAAGAAATAGCGTGTATTCAAGTCACTTGTCCCCGACTCAGGTAAGATGGTGCTCGAGCGTCCCAGCTCTTCAGTGGCTCAAAGTCTTCAGATAAAGCAGATGGTCTGGAAGCCAAAATCTCTGATGCCTAAGCTGATCATGGGCTCAAGGTTCTAAGCCCATCCACTGGCCTGAGCCTCCAAGCCCTCCCTGCCACTGGAGCAGACACCTGCCCCCCCCCCCCCCCCCCCCCCCGCCTTGCTCCTTTAGTGACCCTTCTGGCTTAGAGCCAGTTCTCACCCTCCAACCCAACACATCCCCCTCTTCACTCTCTCCTCCCTGTTCCTTCTCTTCTAAGCCCTCCCCTCCGCTACCTCTGAGTCAGCTCTGAGATTGGCCTTCTCAGTGACTCAAGTCCTGGACCAGCTCCTAACTTCCCTCGCCCAAGAAGCCATTGTGTCTCCCATCGGAGCCCCACGATTACACTGTGCAAGGTTCTGCTGAGCTCAGTCTTCCTTCGCTTACTCAATAAAAACGGACTCCTCACTTAGGATGCTGTGCCTATCAACACGTGGGGCCATGGCCACCTCTAATGCCCATGTCCATGCTTCTTGGCTTCCATTCCTCCTTCTGAGCCTTGAGTGTGGGTCTCCCTCACCAGTTGCTGAGCACAGAGGCTGCATCCTGAAATTTCTCTTGGTCTCCTTCCAGGACCATCCAAGGGCTGTGCTGTTTAATAGATACTGAGCTCTTGCTCAGGCTGACACCTGTCCCATGACAAGGGGACCCTCTTGAGAAGCAAATGCTTAAGATAATCAATATGGTCAGTAAAGGATCCTCTTTTTGTCTGGCTGAAAGGAGGCCTGGAGTCCATCCTGACTGCCTTGCTCTGGGGTCTGAGTCCCACTCACAGCCAGGAGTGCTATGACTTTAGGATCAGGACAAGAGCCTGGAAGTCTCTAGGCCAACTGCCTATGAATACAGGACATAGAGCACATACCTTTTGAGAACAGCTTGGTGCTCCATGCACTGCTGCTTCCTAAAACCAACGAGTTAATCAGAAACTTGAATGTGGTGTTTCTCAAAGCCAATTCCTTCCTATTGTCTAATCGGAATCCCACATGCTACAGCTGGTCTTACCTCCATCAGGCACAGAGCGTGTAGACTAGGGCTTCTTTACATGGAACCCTTCAGAGGCTTGGTTACACTTCTCAGGGGACCTCTGGATGTCTTCCTGGTGTCTGAGCTGATTCCTCTTGCTGCTGAATTGGCTGGTTTCCATTGTTGCTGCGCCGCCCTACAGCCCCCAGCATGACTGGTCTCCACATCCTACCCACCCTCCACTCCCCAGGCCCTTGGTGACTCATCCCTGAGCTTCCCAAGGAAACCCCCACCCTCTGCCCTTTCCTCCCCTTCCATGAGTGGAAAATCCACCCCCACCCCCCACCCAGAGCAGGCCAGTCCCCTTCCTCCTCTGTCTCCCCCCCAACCCCCCAACAGTTTCCTTTCCAGGCCCATGAGCAATCACAGCGCCCCGACCTTGGCTTCCTCTGCTGGGAGGGATTGGGGGGCTGGGCCCCAGAGGCGCCCCTGGCTTCCCCCTTCCTCTGGGCAGGGGGCAGAGAGGCACAGGCCCACGGTGCAGGGACTGACTTCCTCTTGTCCCGGAATGAGCCTGCCTGCCCTTTGCAAGCAGGTTTGGGTCTCTCACGGAGAGGAAACCAAAAGCAGTGAGGCGGGGTAAGGCAGAGCGACCAATCAACGGTTGGGTGAGGCACAAAATCAGCGGGCTCCCTGGGGAGCCAGCCAGAGGCTGGGGGCCATGGCAGAGCTGCAGCAGCTACAGGAGTTCGAGATCCCCACGGGCCGGGAGGCTCTGCGGGGCAACCACAGCTCCCTGCTGCGGGTCGCGGACTACTGCGTGGACAATTATGTGCAGGTAGGCGGAGTGGGCACAGGCCCCGACACCCTTGCCTCCCACCACCGACCCGAGAGGCCCAGAGCCCACCTCCAAGGCAGGACTGCAGGAGCCACCCTGACAGGTGCTCGGCCCGGGTGCAGAGGGGAAATCCTGTTCATTCTGTTCCCCTCAAACTTCAGCCCTGACCCCGTGCCACCCAGCCCTACCGTGCCCCGCTGCCTCTCCTGGAGCCTCACACCTCCATCCTGTTAGCGCTCCTCACTCTATCTTTGTCTCCCTCCCAGGTCCTGCTCAGATCCAGACTTGTCCCCAAACAAATAGTGGCATCATTACTGCATCTGCAGGCCGACTCTAGGTGGGCCTTCTGAACTTCCTGGACAGTGTCATGAACTTGAGAGGGACCAGGGGGAGATTCCTTTCCCTGATATTTGAGCGAGAGTGGACAGACATCAGACTAAGCTGTGTCAGGCACAGAGGCAGGGGGATGGACAACGTGACTGCTGGGAGCTGTCTACCAACAAAAAGATGACAGCTGTGCTTTATTATTATTATTATTATTAAATATTTTATTTATTTATTCATGAGGGACACACAGAGAGAGTCAGGGACATAGGCAGAGGGTTAAGCAGACTCCCCGTGGGGAGCCCGATGGGGACTCGATTCCAGGACCCCAGGACCCCAGGACCACGACCCAAGCCAAAGGCAGATGTTTAACGACTGAGCCACCCAGATGCCCTGACAACTGAGACTTTTTAGAACTTTCCTAAATTGTGTAGCGGTTTCAGGTCCATGAACAAAGATTCCCAGATCAAGGGAAGAGTGGGGAGGGAAACTCAACAACAATTGAGCACCTGTTTTTTTTGTTGTTGTTGTTGTTTTTTCCCATTAATCCTCGTAAGCACCTTATGAGACAAGTATTATTATTCCTCTTTCATAGACGAAGAACCAGCAGCACAGGGAGGCAAGGTGACTGTCCAAGGTCAAATGGCTTGGATGTAGCAAAGCTAAGCATCAGCCTCCTGACTTCTGAAGCCGGTTCTCTCCTCTCCTCCTCTTTACCTCTTGCCTGACATGCCGTATGACTTAAAGACAGTTTATTTGCACTGACAGGCCCCGGGGGACCTCCTGGCTCAGTAAGAGTGTTGAAAAAAAAAAAATGAAAGTAGCAAGTGCTTATGGGAAAATGGCAGATTAAAGGGAGTCAGTGATGAGACCAGTGAGAACACTCTGCACCCTTCCTTTGGGCAGGCTTGTTGCCCACATGGCCTCTTTTAGTCCTCCCCCAAGCCAGAGAGGGGAGAAGCACTCCCACTCCACAGCAGGAGGCCGGGGTTCAGAAATATTGACTCACTTTCCCAAGGTCCCTAAGCTAGTGGCAGAGTCTGAATTCGAACCCAGAACTCTGACTCAAGAGCCCACCCCCAAATCTCTAGTTGAATAGTTGCTGTTGGTGTAGATGCTGAATGACCGACCAGCTTGGGGATGAGATGGACTATGGCTTGTAAACCAGCCCGGTTCTCGTGGTGCTGGAAGGCAGCCTTCTACAGACAAGGAGAGAAGCAGTTCTGTCCATTTCTTGGGTAAACTCTGCACAGCTCCAGGCTCTTCCAGATGGGTTCTCATTTGTTGCATACACAGTGTGTGCACACAGGATTTAGGATTACAAAGACCCAGTCCAATTTCCATCTCTGCCACCAACCAACTACAGGACCCATGGCAAGCTGACTCTCTGATTCTTACACCTCTCTCTTCACCATGGTCACGTGGGTTAAATGTGAAAATGTGTTAAAGCACTTAGCCCAGTGCCTGTCACTTAGGAAGGGCAGGATACATGGAAACTATGACCATTACTATCATCATCATCATTTGTCGGAAGGATGAAAGATAATGAAAGTCAATTCTAGTGAGGTGAAGCTGCCCTTGCAAAATCACCAAAAGCCCTGCCCCAGGTCAGAGTCCCCGGGCTCCGGCTTCCTTCATGCAGAACACTAATTAATTGACCTTAGTTACCTTTCCTGGCCTCTCAGGGGAGGATCTCAGTCTGGGGAGCAAATGCTTTCAAAGGGTTTGGATGACTTCTCAGAACTGCCGTTAAAGAAGGCCTGGTTCTCATGCCCCCCCCCCCCCCCCCCGCCCCCGTCCTTCCCTCAGCCCCTCCCTTCACCCCAGTCAGGTGCAGGAAGCCCATGGGGAATGGGGGGAGGCAGGCTGGGGTTGACTTCAGAGCTCTCTCTGTCAGAGTCCATTGAGTTTACAGACAAGGTAATTTGCATGATGAATAAGCAGACAGCTATGACAATGGATCTCATATTTTTGTACCTCTGGACCTAACTTTGGGCCAAGCCCCAAACCAGGGGTCAGTAGGTATCCAGCTCCAGGCTCCTGGAGCTGGGCCCAAGCGGACCATCTGGGCTGACAGTTCCATATGGCAGGCCAACCAGGGGACAGCACTGATGAGGCAAGCTAGGAAGTCTGGGTGCAGACCAAAGGAGGAGGAGTCACTACCCCATTCTGGGCTTTCCTTTCCTTGTCTATTAAAGAATGGTCTTAAGCTGGGGACACCTGGGTGGCTCAGTGGTTGAGTGTCTGCTTTTGGCTCAGGGTGTGATCCTGAGATCCAGTCCCCCATCAGGCTCCCTGCAGGTAGCCTGCTTCTCTCTCTGCCTATGTCTGGGTCTCTCATAAATAAATAAATAAAATCTTAAAAAAAAAAAAAAAAAGAAGAAGAAGAAGAAGAAGAAGAAGAAGAAGAAGAAGAAGAAGAAGAAGAAGAAGAAAGAAGAAAAGAAAGAAGAAGAAAAAGAAAGAAGGAAGAAGAAGGAAGAAGGAAGAAGAAGAAGAAGAAGAAGAAGAAGAAGAAGAAGAAGAAGAAGAAGAATGGTTTTGAACTAGAATAAGACCTGTTCTTTCTGGTTCAAACATCCTGGGTTGATTTCTTTGCCTTTTCTGAAGCTTTTGGGTACATATGCTGATGAAATGTAAATTGCATGCAAATGAGCACCTAGCTGTTGGAACTGAAAAGCAGAGCAGGGCTGCCCAGAAGGTTCTGGGTCTGCCTTTATTTTTATTTATTTATTTATTTTTTTGGGGCCTGCCTTTAGACTTCAGCTTGGCTCAGGCTCCAGTGGAAGCACCCTGCTCTGATAGGTTCTAGGTCTGCTCTCCACTGACAGGCTCTAGGGAGCACCTGGGGTCTTTGGCGAAGACACTGCTTGCAGCCTTGTCTGTCCATGCCCGGGCCTGGCCCAGACCTGCCCTGGGCTCCTCCCTCCCCCCTAGAGAAGGCTACAGGCTAAATTGCAGCAGCTCCATGATCTGACCTGAGATGAGGAAGCTGCCTAGGGAACCAAATGGCCAGAGAACTTTTGCTCTAGCCCTTAGTCTGATCTGGTACTGAAAAAAAAAACACCCCTTCTTCTGTCTTTAGCTGTTCTTTCCCACCCTTTTACTGCTGACTGGCAGTGTGACCCTGCCTGGCACAGTGCCTGGCATGCAGCAAGGAGATGCCCAGAAAGTATAGGTTTCACATTCATTAACTCACAAATGCATATTTATTAAGTATCATCTGTGTGTTGGGCACTAATCCAGGGTAGGATACAGAGTAAAACAGACAGCCTTTCTGCCCTCACCGTGCTTACATTTTAGTATGGGGGGGGGGTAGATAATGAAGTAAATAGAAAAATCACTTCTGATAGATAGTCCTAAGTACTATGAGGAAAAGAGAACAGGGTAAGTATAGTAGAGAGCCAATACAGATGTAGGCTAGGGCAATCTTAGGGTGGTGATGAAATGTGTCTCTGGGGAGCTGAGATTTAATAATAAGGGTTCTAGAAGGAAATACACCAAGTGCATAGGCCCTGAGGTGGAAACAATCTTAACTTGATGGAGAACAGGAACCTAAAGGCAAATGTGCCTGGAGGGGAGGAAGTGAGAGGGAGTGGTGGAGGAGAATGGGGAGAGAAAAGCAGAGTCAGCCTTGTGGGGACCCTATACAGGCCCTGATTGGAAGTCTGGATTTTATTCTCACGTATTGGGAAGCTACTGGAAGGAATGAATGAAGTCCCTCTTCCCTGGGCTGCAATTTCCTTATCTATAAAATGGACTAGATCATTGGTACCCAAACACTATTCTGCAGACTGGAGAAAGGAGCACAGGGGTCACCTGGGGAGCTCTTAAAGGCACAGATTCATCACCCTCACTCCCCCTCACTCCCAGATTCCAGTAAGAAGGTCTAGGACAGAGGGCCTGATGTCGATTGGGTTGGTTTTTAAGTTTGAAATTACTGCCTTCCTCTTTCCTTTCTACTCTTCACCCTTGATTTCCAAAGGTCCTCCAAAGGTGGTGGGGTCAATCTTCAGCTGGACTCTTCGAGGACGGAGATCTCCTCCTCCGTTTGCACCCATTCCTTGGGGCCACAGATTTGCTTTCCTAATGTCCCCGAGTCCCTCTTACTACAGTGTCTTTCTCATGGAAACCACGTCAAACATCTTGAGTTACTGCTTTCTCCCGCGATCCCCACTGCTTTCTCCCACGATCCCTATGCCCTCTCCTATCCTACCCACGGATCCCGTGGAAGGGGCCGTCCTCAGACCAGAGCTATGTGTATTACAGGCCACAGACAAGAGGAAAGCACTGGAAGAGACCATGGCCTTTACCACCCAGGCACTGGCGAGCGTGGCCTACCAAGTAGGCAACCTGGCTGGACATACTCTGCGTATGCTGGACCTGCAGGCGGCCTCGCTGCGGCAGGTGGAAGCACGTGTGAACACACTGGGCCAGGTAAGGGGTATGGGAGGGCTTCTTGTGTGGGCTTCCAATTCTTTGGCCCCACTCAGACATTTTCTCCAGCAAAAGCTCTCTCCCGCCTTCCTCCAAGTGTCTCACTTGGCCATGGAAGCTTGGCACTTCCCGAGTTTCAAACCTCCCTATCTCTGTAGGTATGTCTCAGGGCTGGGCTTGCTGCCCTACCAGACTAGGAACTCCTTGAAGGCAGTCCTTTTTCTTTCTGAATTCTACCTGAATTCTATCCCACAGGTAGCAAGCAGGACTTGCTTACCAATCACGGTGGCTGCCTCATACGGTAAAGAGGCAAGAGGACTTGTTTCTATCTAAACACAGGCAATGACTTAATAAGTGTCCTCCTCCCAGAGTGTTTGCTTGGCAAGGTCATCTTCAGCCCTGAGAGCACTGCCACCACCCCATGGTGCCTCCCGCCCATCTAGCATACACACCCTCCTTCCTTCCTGGATCCTTGGCTGAGGAACTGCCCCATCAACCACATGCACAGATCCACTCACACAGCAGCCTGGCCCGTGCATCACCCACATGTTCCCTGCAGGGTGTGACTCTCACCCCAGCAGACCGGAGTCCCCACCCTCTCTGTCTTGAATTTCCCCACAGAACATTCCAAGAGGAACTTAATTCACTTCTTTGTCCCCCAAAAGAGACAAGTTGATCTAGTCACGGTTCTCTACCATCTAGGCATTATCCACCTCTGCCTCTGAGCCACCCGAGTGCACTGGTCTCTTCCTAGCAGCCCCAGGGGTGCCGTGTTTCCTCCTTTCCTCTGGCGCCTGATCAGCTAATAATAACCCTCATTCTCTTCCACCAGGAAGCTGCTCCAAAGTGGCTCCATCCTCCCCTGGCAACTTTTTTCCCAAATGCTGTGTGACCCTGGGGACATTTATTCTCTCTCTGGACCTCACTGCTTCCCATGGTCCTGACTCCCACTCCAAAGCCTCTATCTTCTTCCTCCTGTAAGAGGAGGGGTACTGGGGGTGCCTGGGTGGCTCACTGGTTGAGTGCCTGCCTTTGGCTCTGGCAGGTCCGTCGGTTGTGATCCCAGTGTCCTGGGATGGAGTCCCGCATCTGGCTCCCTGCAGGGAGCCTGCTTCTCCCTCTGCCTGTGTCTCTGCCTCTTTCTCTGAGTCTCTCATGAATAAATAAAATCTAAAAAAACCCAAGCCAAAACAAAATAAGAGGTGGGGCACTGTATGGAGACTCCCCCCCCCCTCACCTCAAACCCTATCATGGCAGATGGTGAATATGCATATGGAGAAGGTGGCCCGAAGGGAGATTGGCACCTTAGCCACCGTCCAGCGGCTGCCCCCTGGCCAGAAAGTCATCGCCCCCGACAGCCTCCCTCCCCTCACGCCTTACTACAGGAGACCCCTCAACTTCGGCTGCCTGGATGACATTGGCCATGGGATTAAGGTAGAGAGAGGGCCCCTCCTCTTTTCCACAACCCATTCCCTCAGCTTCATGGGTTCCCTTCTCCCCAGCCTCCTCCTCATTCTCTTCCACATCCACATTCTTGTTCCATCCAGCCTTGTTCCCTGATCTTTCCTCACTCCCTGAAGCCATCACCCTTAGGAGACCCCTCCTCTCCAAGCCTCCCTCCTTAAAAGTCTTTCCTGACCCCTCCCTCCATAACTGGCCTTTACTCTGTCCTCAGATGGTCAGCTGAGGGTGCATCTGAGCACCCCTTTCCACGGGGGCTGGGTGTGTGTGTGAAGGGGAAGAGAGGAAGGGAAGGCGTCAGGGTGTACATGAGAATTGCTCCCCAGCCACATGAGAACAGTAACTTCCTCTGTCTGGAGGTTTGAGGTCAGGGCACTGAGCACTCCCCCCAGAGCTGCTTGCTGTTGGGTGGGAAAGGGTGGGGATGCAGCCACTCAAAACGTAGAGGCCTGGTGAAGATGGGGAGCATGCCACTAGCATTTCCTTCTCCGCCCATCTCCTGAGAGGTGGGAGAGCACACATCCCTAACCCCATGTAGTCAGTTCCCACATGCCAACATCCCAGGGGAGATTAAAGCTCCCCTGGATCTCAGCGACCCCTTGAAACCCTCAACATACCATAGCATACAGACTATACTCCCCTCCCTCAGTCACCAGGCTTCCCCACCAGTGATTTCCCATTACCCAGCTTCCATTCTTTTGGACTCAGCTCAGTCCCCCTTGTCTTGTGCCTAGCGGAGTATAGCAGAGGACAGCATCCCTCATGGGCCCAGGCTCAGGGACACCCCCCCAGGGACAGAAGTGCTCTCTCGAATGTGGGCTGGCCCTTGCCACTTGTGCATTTTAAATGCTCTGTCCCTCTGTCCTGAGCTTCCCAAAGCCGGGTTCTGCAGGCCAGTCAAAATGACAGGTGGGGGGCACCTGGTGGCTCAGTGGGTTAAGCGGCTGCCTTCCCCTGGGGTCAGGATCCCAAGGTCCTGGGATCCAGCCTGGCATCCAGCTCCCTGCTTAGCGGGGAGCCTGCTTCTCCCTCTCCCTCTGCCTGCTTCTTCCCCTACTTGTGCTCTCTCTCTGCCAAATAGATGAATAAAATCATTTTTTTAAAATGGAAGGGGTATACCTCTAGGTGTGATGGTCCCCTCTTCCCCCCACCTTCCCGCCCACTCCTCAGCCCCGCCTGGGGTTGCTTGGGGTCTATGAGGATTAGAGCCCACCAAGCTGGCCACTGAGATGCTCTGCGAGCGTGCGAGGTGCGGATGCTAGGCTGTGCAGAGGAAGTGGCCTTCAGACCGCGTCTGCTCCAGGTTTCCGTCGGGCCCGCGGTCGACCAGAGGCCCAGGGCCCAGGCAGCAGCAAGAGGGGGTGGCTGTGGGGTGGGGTGCGATGTGGGGGGCTGGGAAGTAGAAGTGGGAACTTGCTGTCCCCGCGCGCTCCCTCCCAGTTCGCGGCCGCCTCTCCCTCATTTCCCCTCTGGGACCAGGGGGCTACTGGGGAGGGGGAGCCCCATAGACGTCAACCCCGCCCCCTGCTCCCCCGCAGGATCTGACAACGCAGTTGTCGCGGACCGGGACTCTTTCGCGAAAGAGCATCAAGGCGCCTGCGACACCCGCCTCCGCTACCCTGGGGTGAGGCCTCGAGATCCCGAAACTCTCCTCCCCCACCCTCAGTGCAGAGGAGCCAAACTTCCTCCTCCCCGCACCTGACCCCGCTGGCCGGAAGCCTTCCTTCCCCACCCTAACTCCACCCCTCCCCCACCCCAGGAGGCCGCCGCGGATCCCCGAGCCGGTGCAGCTCCCAGTGGTGCCCGAGGGCAAACTCTCCGCCGCCTCATCTGCCTCTTCCCTGGCCTCGGCAGGGTGAGCCCCACAAGTCCAAGTGGGGGTGTCACGGTGACTACTAGGGTGGAGACGACTCGCAGCACAGGCCTGGGCTGATGACTGAAGGGGCGGGGCCGGTGGGGGGGTAATGCCGAGTTAGGGAAGGGGTCCCCCAACTTAGTCGAGCCCTCTTTCTCTGGTCCTCAGCAGCGCCGAAGGTGTCGGTGGGAGCTCCACGACCAAGGGACAGGCAGCACCCCCACCCCCACCTCTCTCCGGCATGGCCCCACCCCCGCCACCGGCCCCCGAGGTCTTCCTGCCTCCCCCTCCGCTGGAGGAAGTATCCCTGCCCCCGCCGGGTAAGGAGCTCCGCCCCCTCCTGGCTCCCCTGTGGGGTCTCTGCTCACGTTCCCCAGGTCCCCCCGCCCATCCGATCGGCCAGCTCAGTGGACGTCCTAGGTAGGGGGTAACAGGAGAGGAAGGACGCTAATTTAGCGCCTGCTTTACACCAGGCTCTGTGTTCAAGCTCCTCGTCTCTTTTTTCACTTAACTTAAAAACCCTAAGAGGACCTTCACACTCTGATCGCACAGATGCAAGTTGAGGCCGACAGGTTAATTCAGTGACTTGCCTGCGGGTTACCCTGCTGAGGGGCAGAGCCTGACTACCGTACACCGCTCAACATTTGTGTGTTTACTGAGAACCTACTAGAGGCCTTGTGGTGGGAACCCTGATGGGCCCAGGCTGGAGAAAGATTACATAAATGGGTGGATGCTGGAGCCCGGATTTTGAACAGTGGAGTTTCCTGGGGGCAGTTGGAGGGGGGTTTCCTGTGCCACACCTGCAGGCTTTCTACTTCCCCTCCCAGCACCAGAGCTGCCCCCGCCCCTGGATCTGCCCCCTCCTCTACCCCTGGATGTTGATGAATTGGGGCTGCCACCACTGCCCCCACCAGACTTTGGGCCTGAAGAGCCTAGCTGGGTCCCTGCTGCATACTTGGAGAAAGGTACCTGATTCCTGGGACTAGGGATCCCCTCTCCTCTTCTACACTAGAATCTGCAACGGTATGAATATGAGCCCGTTATACACACACACACACCCCTCCCTATTTCCTGATGAACTGACCAAACGTTCATCCAGGAGTGGTGAACCAAGATGGAAAGACAGGCAGCTGGCCTGGCACTGAATACTATTAACCTAGGTGGGGAAGCAGGGGCGGTCCCAAGAGCTTTGGAGAAGGCATCTCCTGCCCTACTCCCTGTAGCCATCCCCCTAGATGTTCCCTGGCATTATGGTAGGGCAGGAGACACATCTCATGGCAACCTCTCCTCCCATCCTGCAGTGGTGACATTGTACCCATACACCCGCCAGAAAGACAACGAGCTCTCCTTCTCCAAGGGCACTGTCATCTGCATCACACGCCGCTACTCAGATGGCTGGTGTGAGGGCGTCAGCTCAGACGGGACTGGATTCTTCCCAGGGAACTATGTGGAGCCCAGCTGCTGACAGCTGAGGGCTCTCTGGGCTCCCGATCCGGGCACCCCTTGAGCTCCAATACAAAGCCAGCCCCACAGTCAAGGCTAGACTAGGGCTGCCCACTTCTTGGTCTGTGAGCTGTGCCTATCCCTTCCCCTCCTTTTGGTGGGAAGGGGTCCTGGGGAGAGACAGAAGATGGACCCAAAGGCCTGCTGCAGACAGGAAAGAACTGGAAGCCAAAGAGTTTGATGATCTTGTCCACAGAGGACACCCTACTCCACGCAGGATGGGGTCTCCAGCTGCAAGTGCCAACTTTGAATAAAACTCTGATGACCTCCTGGTGATTGCCCTGCAAGGCTAGGGGGCCAGAGAGAGAGGGAGTGCAAGGCTCCTGCTAATTATTGAGCCCCCTCTGCCTGCGCCGCCTCCCCCCACACACTCCCGCAGTAGTCCCTTGCCGTCCCTTGGGTCCTGTGTGCCCTGGACACTAGACCCCTGACGCCTCTGCAACGACTTGTTCTTTTGCCCGTTGTTTGCTGTGTGAAGTTCGGCTTGGGTGCCTCCAGCTGGGCACTCTTCCCAGAGTGGGGACCAACTCCCGCCACCCTTAGATGGGTCTCCCCGAGAGCCGACATCGCCTCACCCTCACCCTTCAGACTTCGGCGCGAGAGATCTCAAGTCAGCTCTTCCCCCTTCACCTCCTTTATAGCTCTAAAACACCAAAGAGGGAGGAGGGGCTTGGCTTTCGCTGGCTCTGCTTTAAAACATCATGGCTTTCTGTTCCATACGGGGGGGGGTCGCAGAGGGCCCAGCCCGCGGGGCGACTTTGGTAAAGTTCCTGGTCTCTTGCTGCATAGACGAGGCTGGGGTGAGAGGAGCCACGGTCGCGCGCTGCGAGGTCCCAGGCTGGACGGACCCGAGCCGAACAGTGCTACCTCGTTCCACCACCAGGAGGCGACTGTACCCTCTGGCTTTTTTTCCTTTGGGGAATGCTGGCGGGGGTAGGGGTGGGGGTGGGGCGCGGGAAGGGAGGCTGGAGGCAAAAGGGTGTAGTGGCTGGGTGGGGGGAAGGGCACGGTAGAAGAAGCAAGATCTAGGGCTGAGGCAGTCGGTGGAGAGCTTCACCTCTCTCGGCTGGGACTCCGGGGCAGCCAGGAGGCTTTCGGGACGGGAGTCCCCTTAACGGAAGACTGGGGGAGGGAAGGTTCCGCGGCTCAAGGCAGCAGTTAAAGCCGCGGGAGGTGTTCTCTCCCCTGCCAGGGAACCCCTTCCTCCCACTTGGGAGGACACGGATTTTGGAAACACCGCTGCCTTCCCAGGTATGCGCACCAGCACCACCTCGGGGGAGCCAGGCTCCAGACTTTAACGTTGCCGTGGAACTGGGGGGAGGCAGCCGAGCTGGGTTAACTGCATAGATAGGGACGGCTCCGAACTCCCCTCCCCCAGCCCCCCCCCCCCCGCGATGGCAGATCTCGGAAAAATTCCCGAAACTCCCAGAGGGACATACCGAAGCGAAAGGGAAAAAGGGAGTCGTAAAACTAGGTTTGTCTTTCCCGTTCGCCCCCACCCCCCCCCCGTCCCCCTCCTGCGCCCGGGCGCCCCCTGCAGACCACCATCCTCAGCACGTCTTCAGCACCTGTTGCAGATGGAGGCGCACGTCGGTGGCGGTTTCCCAGGGCACCACGCTGGCGCGGAAGGAGCTGGGCTCGGCCTTCTGCGCCTCCTGGATAAGGCGGTGCATGGGATAGCCCCGGCGCGGGAAGGCCACGTCGCCGCCCGCCAGCAGCCCCATGGGGCAGAAGTCGTTGGCGCCGTCGCCCACGTAGAAAAGGCGCTCGAAGTGCACGCCGTCGTGAGCCCGCTCGCGCAGGTAGTCGCTGAGCACCTTGTGCTTGCACATGTTGGCGGGGCAGCGTGCGCAGCTGTGCGTGTGGAAGGGCCGCAGCGCCAGCAGCCCCCGCGCGTCGGGCCCCGACGGGTTGCTGAGGATGCGGCGGAACAGGCCGTGGTGGCCGGCGGCGCGCAGCGCGCTCTCCACGCCGAAGGTGTTGGCATCCGAGATGAGGATGACCTCGAAGCAGGAGCCCTGCTTGGCCACGAACTGCAGCAGGTCGCTCATGCCGGGCGACAGGGGGATGGCCTCGTAGATGGCGCGCAGGTCCCGCGGCCGCACGCCCTGCTCGCCCAGGTACTGGAAGACGCGCTGCATGTACTCGTTGTAGAAGCCCTCGCGGTAGGTGGCCCGCAGGCTCTCGGGCAGCCGCTGGCCCGGCGCGGCGCGCACGATCGAGTCGTCGCTGTTCTCGTCCACGATGGTCTCGTCAAAGTCGAAGGTCAGGAGGAAGCGCGGCGCGCCCTGCGCGGCCATCCCGCCGTCCTGGGAGCGGGGGGGAGAGGAGCAGGAGGAGGAGGAGGGAGCAAGCGAGAGGGGGCGCGGCGCGAGCCGGCCGGGGAGAGGCTGGTTAGCGGGCCACGGCCAGAGGCGCTGGCACGTCCAAGACCTGAGGAGGACCCGAGGCAGGTTAAGGTGGGCGGAGGACCCGCCCCCGCCCCAGCCTTCCCCGCCCTCCCCGCTCGCCCCTCTCGGTGAACTGAGCTGGGGTTTAACCCAGAAGGGCTTCCTTGGCACGGGTCTCTGCTACTCTTGTCTGGGGCCATTGGGGCCTAACGGGGTCAGCTTAGAGGAGGGGAAGAGCACCGCTTTGGGGGAGGTTTATGGATGAGGCCGTTCTGGAGACTTCCAGTGACCCCTGTTGTCCTGTTGTCGGTGTGGCGTCCTCTCCACCCCCTTCTTCCCTAAGAAACGTAGACCTCGGAAACCAGGCATTCACCCAACTGCAGCAGCCTCCTCATTCCCTTTTTGGGCCATGCCCAGATGATGGGACTGTGGACAGTAAGGAGCCAGGCTCCAGGCAACGCTCGCTGGTATCGCCCGAGGCATGCGACTGTGAATGCTAGGTCCTGTGGCCTGGCTGGTGGCTAAGGGCTGGGCCTCCGCATTGGCCAGAGGACTGGATTCTAAGCTCTTGGAATAACCAGGTTGGTGGGTTAACCCAGGAGGGCTCTCTGGGAGCTGCTTCCAGCCCCATGGACCCCACCTGGCAGGGGTCCAAGGATGGGACACTGCTTCTCCAGGGAGGTTTTTGGGCCCTGTCCTAACAGCTCATCACTAATCACTTGCCAATTCCCTGGGAGGTACACGTCAGCGGGTGGGGTTTCTGCCAGAGTCCGAAGTAAGCGGGCAGCAGAAGCAGTGGGGCTTGGGGAGGTAGGAGCTTCCCGCACCAGGCCACGACATACCTGGGAGACAGGTAGGGGAGAGGAAAGAGAGCAGCGGTGGCTGAAAAGGCAGAGGGGGAAGGAGCAGGGAGTGGATACAGGGTGGGGAAGGAGAAGGCGGGGAGGAGGAGGTCATGCTAGGGGAGCCTGAGACAGAGTGGGGCTGGGAGGGGTGGCTCCAGGAGGTGGAGCCCTGGGGCCAGAGTCTCACCTACAGAGGACATGGGAGAGGGTGGGGGACGGCAGTGCAAGTGTGAGGTGCAAAGGCAAAGCACTTGGGGACCGCAGAAACCCCCAGTGGCCTGTCTCTGCCACTGTTGCCTGCTGGCTGCTGTACATGGCCGAGGAGCAGAGAGCAAACCAGGTACAGCTTCTGGATATCCACACTGCCTTTCTCCCTCCTGGCCTCCCACCTTAATCAGTCCAGATCCAAGCACTCTCCTCCTGGCTTCATCCTGACTCGCCCCTTGATAGTCCTGTGGTGTTTATGGCCTGGTACACCTTGTGAAACAGAGTCCAAGCTCCTAATTTCAGAGCCGGGATGTGGACCCTGCTCTCTGCCTCCACTACTAGAACTGTTTTCCTGAGCTCGGCCCTAGAGTCACCCTCTGGTCTCACCAACATCTTTCTGGGAGTCTCAGTGGACCAAGATCCCTTAAGTTGAGGATGTAAAGCATCAGGACCCCATGCCTGGGTTGGAAGCTTCCAGGGATTAGTGGTAGAGATGAGGGTAGGCCTAAAAGGGGCTGGATAGGGCTCCTTCCACGTAATCATGGGAAGGGGACTGAGGCCTCAGCCTAAGAGACCCCTGGAGGGACCCACTTACCCTAGACAGGCATCGGAGGCCAGCAACTGGAAAACACCCGCTCATTGTCAGTGCATCACCCTGGGCACCACCTTAGGGACTCTGTTGGCCTCCAGCCGTTGTCCAGAGCTCCTGACAACCACACAAGGTCTGTTGGAGAGGGCCAGTGGCTAGCTTTGTTTCCACCACCAGTGGCCACCTGGTTGTGTCCTGTCTGCTGAGCCCCGGGAACCAACCACTCCCACTCCCAGGGGCTCAATAAAAATCCCTCAAATACAGTGCTCACAGACCACAAAGCCCTCATTTGGTATCCTCCTACCAATCCCCTGTGATGTTTGAGAGGTTACAAGTGATATTAACTGGAGACCCAGAGAGGTTAGCCGACTTACTCAAAGGTCACCACTGTGAGTGGTGCCAAAGACAGGTCTGAAGACTGGAACTTAGGGTCTGAGACCAGTGCTTTAATTTTCTCCAGTATGATCCTTGCACCTTTCTTGTGTATGGCACATCATGGTTTACGCGTCACCGGCACTCATGTTCTCCCCATTGCTCAGTGCAGTCCCATGAGTTCAGCAGGTGAGAAGGGCCCAGAGAGGTTAACTTGCCTGAGGCTGTGTGCTTGTTTCCCCAGGGAGCCTGATTCATGAACATCTGGCCACAGCCTTGTATACTCTCTGCCCTTAAAAGGGAAGGGGCAGATGACCAGGCTCATTGTACCACAGCGGCAGGCCAGGACCCTTGAGCATAACCAATGATCTGGGACGGGCCTCCCTGGTGCTTTCAGAGGCTGGCAATCTGCCAGGAGTCAGTTTGAAAGTTCTGTGTGGCTTTGCTGTGTGACTTTGGGCACAGGGTTTGGCTCCGTGGGGACTTCACCAACTCAGCTACAAAGGATACCTCCTACAGCTCCCACAGCCTCCCCATGTCCCATTTCTCCCCTCTCATCTTGGGGTTGAATGAGAGAATAGAAGCCTCTGGGACAGATCTGGAAAGATATTGAGAACCAGAGACTAGACCGGGAAAGGAGCAAAGTTCTGGCTGGCTGCTGCCCTCTGGTGGTGACAGCAGATGATACTGGAAACCCCTGACTTTGTCAAGGTGACACTCTCCCCAGACCATCCCAGAACATCAGGAAGAAAGCTGTGGCCCTGAGACAGAGATTGGGACATCCCAGGAATAGGGCATAGGTCAGAAGGAGAGGTACTATCACCTGGAGCTACCTCACCCCTCCCCACTCCCTAACCAGATATGCTTTAAGCCCTTTGGATAGGGATGGATGCGGGTCTCAGCCTTTCCCGTAAGAACTCTTAATCTAATCTAGGAATTGGGAAAGATTGCCAGAGCTGAATGGGGCACATGGGGGAGGGTGGGGGCAAAAATAGGAGGGGGCCAGGGGAGGAGTCAAAGAGTAGATGGGAGAGAAGGCATGGGTACGCTGGAATGGCATGTTCTGGAGAATGGGAGGGCTGTCCCCAGGCCCTATCTGGAGGGAGTTCCAAACTTCCAGGATCCTGTCTGATATCATATGTCCAGCCTATCCTCCCCACCCCCTGGGGCCCAGCAAGTTTGAGGAGAAAGGTAAGGGGATCCCACTTCTGTGGTAAAAGCAAGCAGGGGCTCAAACAATGAACCGGGCATGGGGAGAAGAGAGCGGGAGGTAGATACACAGGCTCTTCAAGCAGCCACCCAGAGACCAACTTTCATCCCACAGAAAAGGGTCTCCTTGTTTTGCCCTTGTTTCTTTTTTTCCTTTTTAAAATTGTAGTGGAACGTTATACTGATTTTCAATCATGTGCAAAAATTCTCATTCATTAGAGCAGAAGACACATTTTTTTCATCTAACAATATTTAGGGACATCGGTTCCACATTCATCGTTTAGTGAATTGCCCTTGTTTCTTTTAATCCCCAGAGCAGAAAGCCAGGCATCCTGAGTTTCCTCCCCCAGGAGAAGGCTGTGCTGCCACACCACCCTTACCCCACAGTTCCCAGGCCACATTGGCATGTGGTTTTCATGATGTTCAGAAAGGTTACTCACCTCTGGCAGCTTTGTCCTAAGTGACCAAATCCTTTTGTGGTCACCAAAAAGAGTCCCTTGGAGAAAAGGGGGACAGGATCTCAGCTTTTCCAGATAGATGGCTAGAGCAGAGAGAGGAGAAAAGGGGTTTCTTTGGGGTGGCAGGGAGTCCATATTCTAGTCCCACCTAAAAGCGGTGCCCACCTCCCCGATTCCACATCAGATCACTGGATTCCTTCTTGTTTCCACCCGCCTTTTACAAAAATGCTTTCAGAAGACATTTGTAGGAATGAGACTGGGGAGGGGAAACAGTTGAAGTCCCCCCCCCCTTAATGAGGGCAATGGAGCCCACTGGACAGTTCTAGGGCAGTTTTCCCCATGAAATGTTCAGGATAGGGGTGGGGGATGGAGAACCAGGACTTGCAGATACCACAGTTATAATCCCCCTGCCCAAGACCAGGTCTTCTTGTAGCAATCACTAGGAACCCGATCCCACAACTAAGCTGAAGTTTTCTCCCTCCCCAGGACGGTATTCCCAACTTCACCATGGTTTCCTCCTCACCACCACCAGCAGCAAATAGGAAAAACAGAGGCGGAGGGAGGTAAAGCTAACATCCCGGTGGTGGGGGGGGGGGGCACAAAATCAGATGCGGATTAGAACTCAGGAGTCCCCGGGGGGCCCCTAGGCAAAGTTGCAGCCAGAGCTCCCCCTCTTGCCCTGGAGACCCTCTTGGGCTGTGAGTAGCTAGCTGGCCGCGAGGACCTGCAGACCTGGTGTCCGTGAAGATGCTGGGATTAGGAGTCCCCTCCGGGCTCGCCCTGCCCGGGTGGATGAGCTGGAAGGGGATCCTCAGTGGACAGGGAGGTGGCAGCTGCCGGTGGAGTGGGGGGAGAGATATTTTTAGAGGTGGCTGGAAAGCAGGCATTCTGGCACACCCCCAGCTGGCGGGTGCTTCGCTCCAATGCGGGGCAGGGGGGGCGGCGCGCAGCTCAGGGAGCCCAGGGGACCGACCGGTGGGTGGCGGGGAGCAAGGGGGCACTGATGCCTTCGCTTTGCCCGAGTCGGGGATAGAGGGCTCTATGGGCACCGCGTTCCTGGGTGGGAGAAAGGAGGACTCCTGTCCTGGCTCCAGGGGACTCCCCCACTGACACACGTGAAGGAGCGCCCTCGAACTCCACACAGCCCCCACCCCTCGCGGGGACCCCAGCCCGCCCTGCCTCGGGAAGCCCAGGACTCACGTGGGGAGCGGCGGCGGCAGAGGTCTGTCCCGGCTTAGTTTGGAGTGTAAAGAGTGGGGGAGTGGGGCTAGCGGAGGTATTTGGGCGCAGGATGGGGCAAGGGGTGCTTACGGGAATTGGAGGGGACGCGGTGTCTTATCCACCCCCGGGTTTCTGGGCTCCGGCTCACGAGTCCCTCCAGTCCCGAGGGCCCGTGGATGATGTGCGTCTGGGCCGCCCCCTCCACCTGCCCCCCATCCCCCCGGGCCGCCGCCGCGTCCCCTTTAAATGCCCGGGAGCCGGAGCCCGGGCCGCGGCTGGCGCTGCGGCTGCCGCAGCACCCGGGCCCACCGCAGTCCCCGCACGTCACAAGCGACTGTCCAATCACAGCGGTGCCGGCGCACATCAAAGGGGCGGGCCGCCTGCGGGCCCCGCCTTCAGGCTGCCCCGCAGGCTCGCGGAGCGCCCGCGCAGGTGGAGAGGCGCGCAGGGGGGAGAGGGGAGGAGAGGGGACGTGGAGCGCCTCCCTCGCGCGCAGCGTGGGGGGCAGCCTCGCTGGAGCGGCTGCGGGGCTCCGCCGGAGTCGCTGCCTACACGCCCAGAAGTGTCAGGGCTGTGCCTCCGGGGCGCCGAGCCCCGAGATTTGCAGAAATGCACCCCTGCCGCCAGCCCCCATTCTCCTCTTCGCTCCTCCGCGGAGCGGTAGGCGCGGGTCGGCCCAGCCGGGGAACCGCGTCGTCTCGCACGTGCGCCTAGCTCTGCCCTCCGCGCGGAGTCGCGGCACTCCTGGGACCCTTTCATCCCTTACAGGTGACAGGGGATCGCCGAGAAAGGGGCTCGCCCACTCCCCTGCCCCGTGAGCAGTGATTTAAGGACCCAGTTGTTTGCCTTTTGCAAGTGATGTTGTAAATAAAAAAAACCCACTTTCTCTTGTGCTTGGTTAAGAGTTTGGTGGCCAGCCACCCTCCCCTGCGTCCCCGCCCGCCCCAGCAGTCCAGCCGCCCCCGCCCCAAGCTCCATCTGCCCTCCCTCCCATGGTTGAGGGGTTGAGGAGAAGCTTATGCTTCGACGACAGCGGAGAGCGGAAAGTTATATATACCGAGAACCTATTATGAACCAGGCACTAGGGTACTAGGTCTCTGCACTTATGGTTGAATATTCACAAAGGGGCAGTTATTTGCCGGAGTTCAAACCTAGGCACACCTGGCCCATGGGGTCACAAAGGAGCTGTGTGGATGCAGAGCCTAGACGCCCTCAGGCCTGGGTCAAAATCTCCCCGAGCCCCGCTCTTCCAGGAGAGCTAGTGGGTGGAAAGGCCCTCTATGATCTGGGAGCCCTTGGCGCTGGAAACCAGACAGGGAACTGCGGTCTGCAAGGAATTCTGTGCAGGGCCTAGGGGTCCCTTAAAGAACAGGACAGGTGAAAAAAGAAAAAAACAAACAAACAGGATAGGTGTGTGCTGTTTCCACATGTACAAAGGAGAATGAATGCTTCACAGCGTTTACGTGATGTTTCCTGGGGACTTCCCTCCTCGGGAACACACCTGCCCTGTTTGCCGGGTGAGCCCGGCCTCTGTCACACATCCTGAAGCTCCTTTTTTTTTTTCCTGAAGCTCCTTTTATTACACCGATCACTTGTGTGCTACCAAAGCACGTGGTAAATGCTGTCAGTATACTATCACGTGTCAGTAAAGATAATCCGCACCACTCTATGAAACGACTCGTGGAGTCTCTTGCTGTTGGGCAATCAAGGCACAAGCAGTTGAGCTTGCCCAGGATCACCCAGCAGGTGAATGGTAGAGCTGGGCTCCCAGCCTGGTTGCCTTCGCCTTTACCCCACACCGTGCCCTTCGTTCGGTGTCTGCTACCCCTTCTCTCCTGTCAGCAGTAGGGGGGCAGAGACCACATTTGTCTTATGGAGTGGTGTCTCCCATGGCCCCCAGCACGGAGACTGTGGCACACTGTAGGCCTTAGATGTTCGTTGTGGTGAAGCACGTTGCCTGCTGTTTGGCTCAACCTAGTGCCCTGTCTGTGTCTCCTCATTTCACCTAGCAGGGCACTCCAGGGTTATCCCCATTCTCCTACAAGGAAACTGAGGCTCAGAAAGACCAGATGAGTTGTCCAAGGTCATCCCTGGGGACATCCTTGTCCCCAAGGAGGCACTAGATTCAAATCAAGATCCTGGTGATTAACATCCTTTCAACTATTTCCAAATTCACTAATGGGGCTGGGGTGGGCAGGTAACTTTCTGTGGCGGCCTAAGCCAGTTCTTACTATCCACCTCTTGCCTTCCAGCCATGGGAGGACCAAAGCTCATGGGATATTTGTGCAAAGTGCCTTTGTGGAATAAATCTAGAAACTCCCAGGTCCCCCTACACTAAGTGTTTCACACAATCCTACCTCTCTCTCTCTCTCTCTCTCTATCTATCTCTCTCTCTTTTTTTAAAAAGATTTTATTTATTTATTCATGAGAGACACACAGAGAGGCAGAGATACAGACAGAGGAGAAGCAGGCTCCACGCAGGAAGCCCGATATGGGACTCGATCCTGGGACTCCAGGATCACGCTCTGAGCCAAAGGTGTAGATGCTCAACCGCTGAGCCACCTAGGCGTCCCTAATCCTACCTCTCTTAAACTTTCCCCTCTTGTTGTGCCAATGAACACAGTTGGACAGTTGGACAAGATGAGTGATCAGCCACATGTCTAAAGACAGGGACAGGAAGGGAAGGGGAATCCTACCCCCCACCTCCTCCTGGCCCCCAGCAGGGTGAGGCCTCTGCTCAGCACTCAGCTGCAGAACTTCCTCTCTTCCTGTGGGGTTCACCTTAGAACTCCAGGCAGTCATTCTGGCAGAGAGCTTATGGGGTCATCTGAGGTGACAGAGACAGGAGTCTCCAGTGAAGCCTGATTCAGGTGGCCAGGAATGGGGCTCTCAAGCTGGCCTTGACAAAGAGGGTGTGAAGGTTTTGGTGTAGAGCCGGGGAGGCCAGGAATTGGGACTAGGGACTCTGGCTCTCAGGCCTGGTGGGGGGTGGGGGGTGCAAGGCTGAAGCAGGAGGGGCAGATGGCCTCGTTCCTCCCTACACTCCACCTAGGGAAGGACGATTTTCTATCGGGTCCATAGTCCCCACAACAACCCTGGCAGATGGTATTAGTATTCTTTTTTTTTTTTTTTTTTAGTATTCTCATACCAATGAAAAAGCAGAAGCGTGGGGACATTAAGAAAGTGCCTTGCCCAAGGACGCTGTGTAGCAAGTGGTGATCCACCCAGATGTTCGGGTCACGACTTCTCTGTAGGAGGCTTCAGGGACCTGTTGACCACACAGGTGGGTTGGCGCAAGACGCCACGGGGACTGCCCCGTTCGGGCAGTTCTGCAAGTTCTATTGTCATTGCTCTGGGTCTAAGGCCTTGTGCTGGGGCGTAGGGACCAGAGCTGAATAAATCCCCTTTCAAGTCTCTCCTCTCCTTCCTAGACAACAGCCGCTAGTGTCGATGGAGTGCTCACTGTGTGCCGAGCAGTGTTCTAAAGGCTCAACTCGGGGGATCCTTGGGTGGCTCAGTGGTTTAGCGCCTGCCTTTGGCCCAGGGCGTGATACTGGAGTGCTGGGATCGAGTCCCATATCGGGCTCCCTGCATAGAGCCTGCTTCTCTCTCTGCCTGTGTCTCTGCCTCTCTCTCTCTGTGTCTCGCATGAATAAATAAATAAAATCTTAAAAAAAAAATAAAGGCTCAACTCTCTTCGTTCTCACATCAACCCTATGATCTCTTAGTTCCTCCATTTTACAGATGAGAAAAAGGAGGCACAGAGTATGTATGTAATTTGTTCAAGGTCCCAGAGCTCGGGAGTGGCAGAAGCAAGATTTGAATCCAGGCAGTCAGCAGCAGAGTTTCATTTTTAACCAGAACATCACGTGGCCGGCCTCAGAAGTTTCCAGAGTTTTGAGTTGCCCTTCTCTGTGGATGGGACTTGGCTGCCCCACCCCGACCCTGGTTCTTGGAAGAATCTGGCAATAACATAGGTGGAGGTTCAGATTTTCAGAGCTGCGTCCCGTCGGTAGCTGTGGACAGTCTCCTGCTCTCCTGGGCAGCCCTGCAATGCGGTATTCCTTTGCACTTTCTTTCATTCGACAGCTATTAACTGTGTCAGGTGCTGGGAGATGAGATCTTGAAGAAGACACAGACCCTGCCCTCAGGGAACTTCCAGTCTAGAGAGGAGACGCAGATAAGGGAACAGGCCTTCCCAGAACTGTGTCCGAGAACAGCGAACAGCGGGCAGATCTGCTGTACCTGTGACTACCAGGGCAATTCTGTCTTGGACTTCAGTGGGTAAAGCAGCTGGGACCTGGGATACCTCCGGGATAAGGAGGAGACTCATAATTCAGGGGTCAGGTTCCCCTCCAGCCAAGATGCTCCGTCTTGACCACTCTCCTTCCTTGTCCCACCCTAACTTCTGGTCCTGCCTGCTGCTGGCTTCCACTGTCCTCTTCCTCTACACCCCCTGAGCAGCCTGGAGACACTCCAGAACCACTTTCTTCCCACCCTGTATCTTTTCCTCCCTGCCTTCCCCAGTCCAGCCCATCTCCCACAACAGACTCACCCAGACAGAGCTGTCCACTGTCCCCCTCCAGTAAACCGCAAGGATGAGGAGTCATGTGGCAGAGAGACACATGTCTCTAAAACATGTAAAGACGAGGTGCAGGGGCGCCTGGGTGGCTCAGTTAGTTCAGTCTGCCTTAGGCTGCGCTCATGATTCCAGGGTCCTGGGATCAAGCCCTGCATTGGGCTCCCTGCTCAGTGGGAAGTCTGCCTCTATTCCCCCCCCCCCCCAATACTCTCTCATTCTCTCTTGCTCTCTCTTAAATAAAATCTTAAAAAAAAAAAAGAGAGAGAGAGAGAGAGAATGAGAGAAGTAAATGTGCAGACATCCTTTCTACTGCCTGGCAGACACAGCAGTTGGTCGAGAAAGTCCAGAAAGTCACCTCCTCCCTGCCCTGGGGTCACCTTTGGGGACTCAGAGAAGTCCTTGAGATCTGACTCAAATCCCACTTGCTGGAATATTTCCTCTCATTTGTCTTCCAAGGCACCCTCCTGTGTAATGGCTTTCAGAGACTTAAAATCTGCCACTCCGTTTCCTCCATTTTTTGCAAATGTCACCTTAAAGAGAACAAGGTGATTTTGCCTCTGCCTGCCTCGTGTCCCTGGTTATTTCTTGCATCCCTCTTCCACTCACAGTGTGTAACAGCCTTCTTTCTGGCTTTCAAATGTGCTACCACAGGCCCTTTGCACTTGCTGTAGCCTCTTTCCAGAGTACTTCCCACCCCATCCATGGTTTCCCACTGAGTTCAGGGTTATGCTCATCCATCTGTCACTTCTAAAAGGAAACTTGAGCTGCCCAGACACCCTCCCTTTCTTCTTACACACCTCCACAGCACCCTG